GATTCCTGACATTCATAACGATTGCAGATTTACTCAAACTTGTCGCCAGTAGGAGGAGCGACTTAAGATCTCAATAAAAAAGACTTAAAACGAGAAAGTGCTACGTCTCCTTATGCGGTTAGGACATTGGACTTTATGGGTCACGATTTCAATGCAACCCCGAAGGAAGTATTCAACATCACTAATATAGGTGACCCATGTCCCAGCGAAAAGATAAAACGGGAAGAACTCACGGATCGTCAGGAGTGAAGCAGACCCTCTCATTGGTGAATGTCGGATCGAAATGTATGAGGTTGTAATCGTCGGCCTCCTCCGGCCGGTATGGAGGTTGTACGCGCTTCTGCTCCAGCGCAACCCAGTCAATGGATGCGAAGAAAGGCTGGTTCTGGATATCCGCAAAGTTAGAATTTGGCGCGCAGCCTAGACGCTCTGTTGGATCCTACAAAAGTGCTACATTAGCTAAACAATCTTCCTTCATGAGATCAATACATCTTTTGTACAAAATACTAGTCTACCAGCTAAATATCTCAAGCATTGAAAAGAGCTTATGCAGATCCCTCAGTGAAATCCTTTTAACTTCAATTCAACTTGCCTTGTTAAGGAACCGCTGAAGTATATTGCTCGCTTTCACCGAAATGGATCGGGGATATCGAATAGGCTTGGTAAGGATGACTGAAAGAGAAAAGCGCTGATAGTGTACAAAGCTTATGATATCATTCAGCAGGTTGAACTTCGCAAAACACCATCGTTTCTGTCCCTAATCAATGCAGACTCAGAGAAAGAAAGCTTGTCGATGACGCAAACACTGAGAACAATCTGTGCTAACAATACGTTGACTTTTGAAAGCACTGTACCCATATTTGATTCAGATTTCGATCGAACAATGTTGAGAGTAATATCGCGCAAAGAACTTTAACAAGAGATGTTTGATCGATACAGAGCAGAATGGTAAACAGTACCTTGGAAAAGGTATTCTTCGGTATTTTGGTCGGGGTTGTTGGAGGATCCTATGCCCTCCCATGGAGATCGTCCGGAGACCATCTCAAACATCAGTACACCCAGAGCCCACCAGTCTACGCTAAAACCTGCAAAGGATGCGGACAATTAATGATGAGTGAAAGCTTCTAGAAGTTGATAAGCATACTGTAAAGTGGACTACAAATGGGGAGTGATAGTAACCGCTTCAATTAAGTCAACGCTAGATGAGCAGCCAAGATCATGTGAATGATTTAGGTTATTGATGATACTAACACCTTAGGCTGTTCTCCGTTCATTGATTGGTGTATGCTTCGAGGCGGGAAAAAGTGGGCTTCTAAAATCTGATTGAGGTGTCGTTGTACTGCCTTGACCGCCTTATTAAACAAAGAAGCTCCATTTGAAGTTGGCATGAGCATCATAATGAGATCAAATTGTGGTAACACGTAAAGGAAAAGGAGATTGTGTGTGACTGCTTAACAACAACGTGTGGTGTAAATGTAGTCCATACATCAAGTGCCTTTTCAGGGGAAGTAGAAAAGGCAAACAGACGCGTACGCAAAATGTACGTACTGTAGCTTTCACTGCGGAGAATCTCGGGTGCGATATAATTCGGAGTCCCACAGAAGGTAGAGGTGAGGTTGGTCTCAGAGATGCCCTCCTAGATGGCGTTTAAAAGTCGGTATTAGTCACATTAGTCATATGTTAGCCGGATGGAAAGATACACGAGTCGCCGTTGCCACCTTTTTGAACAAGATGAGACATTTAGGAGACCACAAAACAGAGCGGAAGCAGTGACAACCATGGCTCAATGAACTGCAATTTTTGCTTAAAATATTAGAAATACAGATTACAGTACAAAAGTTTAGTTCTAAATCAGTGTTATTTGACCATCACAGGAACTGACTGCTCGCCCAATCCGTTGTTAACAGCGTGCTTAAGAGTTGCTGTTCAATGTGAATGAAGCTGACCTTACACATGCCATAATCAGTGAGTTTGATGTGACCTTCGAGATCCATGAGGACGTTGTCTAACTTTAGATCGCGGTAGACAATTTGGCGCTCGTGGAGGAAGTTCATGGCGATGCAGATCTCGGCAGCATAGAACTTTGCGTGGTCTTCGTGCAGGCGACATTGACGCTGCATGTGGTACATCAGATCCCCTCCATTGATAAATTCGATCACGAAGAAGAGCCTAATATCATGCATGGTTAAAGCAAAATATAAATTTTCGCGCCCAACTTCATTCGCCAAGCAGTAGTTATGCTCAGCATTTATTAGTGCTAGTACCCCAATTCGAGAATAATTTATTTGAACCGAATCAAAAACTTAACTTTATTCAAGTATTTACAAGCAAAATCAAAGTACTGTATGAAAGAGCGCGGCAACTAATGCGCTACTTGATGAATCACACAAAAATCTGCAAGATAAGGCCCCTCACTCATGCACTAGTTGCGGAAAATATTAAAACGCAATGCATGAAGCGTACATTTTTAATACATCTTCAAAACTTTCAACTAGCTAATCAATGACACATAGAAGTTACCGTCTTAAGGCCGTTCTAGCAATGTCACACACTCTCATAGTAGCGCATTATAAGCCACAAATTGGTAGGCCGTGATCAAGCACACAGTACTTGGACGTACAAGTCAGATGTGGAGCAATATGTTTGAGTCCGAAGTGCGTGCTTGTTCACGCCTGCGTGCGTGCGTGAACCTTTCTGGTGTTTTGTGACTCGTAATCTTGATCGAAGTCGGTGCAATCAAGCCCCCAGCTGGAAGCAAGATTCGCAAAGCAGAATTCCAGCAACACTATACCAATCAGTGCGATAATAATATGATGCATACACAAAGTGCAATTAGCTATATGAGTATTACGCTCCCTCTCCTATAGGCATGATGTGCTGGTAGAGTTGGGCTTACGTTCCAAAGGCAGTAGTCTCCATATCCTTCTTCATCTTTAATCCTAGACCTGCCTTAAATACCCAGAGGAGTGACACATCAAATCCTAACCTGGAATGGAAGCAATGATTGCACGAATTAGAAGTCCCATGCAGTAATATAGGTGCCAGCGCATGCACGAGAGCACGCACCCACAATCATGTTAAAACCATTGTAAGTGGCATAGGCTCAACGACTCCGCAAATGAGCTCTGCGGCAAGCGCACACAAGTATACGCGCATCCATGCAGAGAGAAACTGGCTGTCACTGTGGCTAGATTGCACGCACCACAGTGCTCACTCAGAGCAGACCAGGCTTATCGTGGAGTGACGCGATTAGCACAGTGCACTTTTAGACAGTGGTCCATGCAAAAAGCTAATACCGCGGTTTAAATATGACGACAAAACTTCACTTGCCGGCTCGGAGTCTGGAAACAGGAGTGAAGGCCCACCAAGAACGGATGATTACTTGCAATTTCGAAGACATGTTTCTCGGTTTGCACCCAGTCAATATCCTAAAGAAGAAATGAGGGTAGGTAAAAGCAGCATAAAGCGAAACGCACATTAACAGAAGACGTCTCTGAGTGGAGAATTAAAGTAGATAATGGTAGGAACGAGAAAACACCAATATCCTAGAGTTGGGATACCGAGATAAAGTTGTAGAAGGAAAGAGACAGATATCTCACCTCCTCATCAGTGATAATTTCCTTTTTAATGACCTTCATGGCGTAGATCTTGGATGTGGGCTTGTACTCTACCTGGAAGACCTTTGCATAGCTACCACGACCGATAACGCGGAGGAGTTTAAAGTGGTCTAAGCCTACTTGCTCTGATTTGGTGGGAATCTGAGGAATCACCACACCATCCCCTTCAACCTTGGTCAGCTGCCTGTTCTTGTGCTCTAAAGCGGTGCTGCGATTCATTTCTCGACCCTTCATAATAAAAACGTGGAAAATTAAAGGGGTAAACAGAAGTGTATAGAATAGAAACGGTGAATAATAAGCAATCCACAACTTGTTTGAATTTCATGCCGACTGAAGCTCATACCGTGTTGAGTCGCGCATACTTAACATTTTAGCGTTCACCCTTGATGGAATGTTAAAAACCGGTCCGATCTGCAAGGTACCTTGTCCTCTCAAATACCAGGGCTGGGATGGCCCAGTCGGGTTTCGATTGGTAAATAAATGCAACGGTATTTCTTAATGGGAAATCGCATGATTCTATTACAAGAGTGCTTTACAAATAACTGAGGTAAGAGATTGCTCAAATACTTGAAATGCCTTCCATGAAGACAGTTGTATTCTTGCCTCTCATTTTCATGATCAGCAAAGCTTCTTGATCTCGGGGGACAATTCAAAAGACAAAGCGGTATCATAAAAAGGGACATCTCGTACTCACTGATAACAGAAAAGCGTTGTTTTGAATTCCATCAGATACAAGCATTTCTAAAAATAGGGAAAGTTGAGGAAAAAACCACTGGGAGTAAGCAAAGATACTGTTCAATACACAAGCATTTTTATGGTGAGCTGTAAAAATAAGTAGAATAAAAATCAAGACCTTGTGGTAAACTTAAAGATATGTACTATTACTGTCGACTTCGCCTTAGATTATGTGGATACAGATTGCATATACTGAATTTGTAAAGGCAATCTTAATGAGATGGTGGCTTTACACTGAGATGCAATACCATTAGTGAAATTGACTTACCATCAGTCCCAGCACCACTGACAGTAACAGGACGCTGTCGCACAACTTCATGGGTAGGTGGGACCTCACCACATTGGAAGTCGACAGAAGGGGCACAACGCTTGTGGATGAGTAGTTTGCAAGCATTGCACTTATAGCCCTGCTGTCCCAGCCCCCATATCCTGTCCCCACAGTAGGCGCACACTGCATTCTAACCTCAAATAACAAAGCAGTATTAACCACCTACATCTATTCAAAGGGAGACGCCAATTCACAGTACGGCAAGTAATTGAACCTGCGGACAGATATGACTTATAGCATGAAAATAACTAACAGTGCCGGTTTAAACCTATTGACGATATAAACGATAATCAAAACATTAAAATAACCTCTACAGTTTGGAATGAAGCAAAATAGAGACATTTTAGGAAAAACGTACTTTATTAAAGCGTCGAGCGAGAAAGTTATGACCCTTTAGATGGTAAAACTTCTTATTCCAACGCTTGGCACCGCGACGATACATTTTGACTGCATTTGATAAACCGATTAATAAAATCGATATATGAGTCTCACCAAACATGCAATAATAAAGGCAATAATATACAAATCTCTCAAGAGTACTCACAATCCTCTCCGGGACACAGCATTCCTGGATCGGATGGTGCTCCGTTGAAAACTGAATCGTTAGGAAACGACGTAATGTAGGCATATTAGCAACAGTAAACATCAGTTTAAAGTGAAAAACAAATGAAGATTCTGAAAACGTGATGCAAAACACTAAGTCACAAGGCCAGACCCCATCTCCTCCTATACCAAATCTAACAGATAAGGTACCAAATATACATATTGTAGAACCATAGACAAAGCCATCACAACTAACAAAACAAGTCATTCTAGATGGGAGAGACATACAAGCGTCAGAGCTGGTATAGTCGCTAAACTGTATGCAGGAATTCAGCGACTTACCATGAATAGCAAGGAAGGGTTCTTTATTAATGTGGTAAAGTCGGATTGCTTCCTTGAGTTCCGCATCACTAGTTAACATGCAAGGATCACCTTCATCATCGATCCATTTCATTGTTAGTACTGCCTCTGCAGTGAGATGATACAAGCCCTGAACCGCAGAAAGAAGTTGATGAAATTCAAAGCTAGGTTCTAATTCCGTGACTGTAATCGTACTACAAATGAAGTTATAGTCTTGGGCAAACAAACCCGTTACGAATAAATTTGAGCTTCATGGTAACACAAATAATTAGCTCAGAATTGAGACTGGAAGCCAAGCCAAGGAAAAGTCAAAACCGCGAGCTGTGAGACTACGACAATAATCGATTTGCCGCCGACAACAAACTTTGTTAAACTTGAGGCCTACTTTGAAGTACACCAACGATTAATTTTCATCGGCAGCGGAACAATACTGTGGTGCCAAGAAATTATACGTATCAATTTACCAAACAGTTGGTAGCCTCGTCCATATAAGTTTTTAAAAAAAATATATGGTCTCGCAATTCCAATACATATGTCTATAAGAAATTAGGCGATCCTTTATATATCTAAAATAATAAAAAGAGCTTCACTAAAGATTCCACGAATTCCTATCATAACATAGTCTTTTATTAGATTCAGAGGTCAATTGCTAAAAAATGGGAAGCTGCATAGCGATTCTTAATTTCATCTAGTTGTGTCCAACTTCCGGTTGTACTATACACTAGTTTTTAAGCTGACCTTTATAGGAGAGAGGCGGGAACCAATTGGAACGTGAATCCCGTGAGTGAGGACCGCGAGGAGTCTCCCTAGATGATATCAACGATTCAGCTCATCCGTACTCCTATTCCCGTTTCTTCTATATTTAATGCCTAAAAAACCTACTACAACCAACTCCCTCTTAAAGTCCGCAGTTTGAGAGCATAAGAGCAGGCAGGCAGTTTCTACACCGAAAATGCCAAGTTTTAAGTCTGATATTCAATAAGCATTGCAATGTACTTTCCCCGGCTAACATAAGGTAATGGGCTCAAACCCCAGGACGGCCACCCCTAAAAGCATGCGTAATTTGCATAAAGCGCTGTAGCTATGTAAACAATAATTCTAGTGCTTGATTTATGTCAGTTTTAAAGCCTAATATGGTGGATATGCTGCTGTTCTTTATTCTTACTGCTCAGCGGAAGCATGGTTTCAGTTGTTTTGAATTATATGCGGCACTTTTAAACGATCGGTTTTCCGCGATAGTTGTGATTCGAGTTTTGTTCGCATGGATCCGAGAGATGCAAGGGTCTTCAAGAATGCCTTCTCGGAAATTTTCCGAATCAAAAGTCTTTTGCCCTTGCGGAAGTCGTACTGTTCAAGGAATGAGTTGCTTATCAAGTTACAGGAATATTATGGGACGGTCATATTCTTCGATCCTTTACTCTCACTGGAGCGCAAATTTGAAGTTGAACTTTGGAACACTGTATTCAAAGAACCTTTGAATTCCTGTACTGAAGATGTGCGTCTCTTGTGCTGTTTTTTGCCAATGCGATTTGTATGGCTCTTGTCAGTGCACTTTAGATCATGATTCGCTATGTATTTGCTATATTTGAGCTTCTGTGTTACTTTTTTTCGTATTATGGGGTTGACTTCAATAGCATTGCTTGTATGCTTGTTCTCGATTGCAAACTTAATCATGTTTTCTCATTGTTAGCAAATTTGGTCTTTTTTTGTCTTCTCGTCACTTCATCAATTGCGGTTTGCTCATTGTTCTGTGAATCTTTTGGAAAAATTCCCCTCCACGTTACGAACTTGTCCGTATCGTTTTGGTCTTTAGCTTAGAAAGAATACCAGTAATTCAAATGCACACGAATTTCAGCAACGCTTGGTTTCCCTGATCGATCGTGCATTTGGGTTTTATTCTACTTTACTACACAAGTTGCTGGAGCGTCTCCCCGACTCTGCATGGACTAAAAATGTATGTGTACTACATACTTCGCGAAAATTCTGTACTTTTGTTCCTCTACTGCATTTCTTTTTCTAGATTGTTGAAACTTCATTTAGCCTCAACGCGCCACTGACAAGCCGTGTCTGTTGGGGTGGTGGCCGCTTTGACTTGGATTCTGTAACACTTCAGACACAGCTTACTCGTTTTGCTCGTAAGGAGAAGGCTGCCCAACTCGATGCGGCCAAATTTGTTACTGCAATTGAAGACAGCCAACAACGCCCGATAATCCTACCCCGTGGCGAGAAACTTCCCGATTCTGGAGTTTCTGTCGAAGCTTCGTCTGATAAAAGGGAGGTCGCCTCGTCCATTAAGATCAGCCTCACAGAAGCGGTTCTATACCTAGTCCAACACTGTTGCATTCACCTGGGCGATTTGGCACGGTACCAGCACAAACACAAAATTGCAGTCTCCTACTACGTCTCGGCTTGGCTAGTAGATCCAACCTGCGGCCATGCCTACAATCAACTAGGTGTTGTCGAAGCCACTAAGGTGTGCTTTCGTTATCCTTAGTTTGCCTCCACTGTATTAGAATTTGACACCTAGTTTTTGTAACTAACTTTCAATGCTTTAGGCCAATCCGCGAATGGATAGCTTGTGCTATTTTTACGTCCGTGCAATCGCCTGTTCCTTTCCTTTTCTGTTTTCGAGGAAGAATCTAAAGTCAGTTATGGATGTCATATATGATTCTACCAAAAATCAATCGTTAAGCCTTTTGAATAACTCATCAGTGCAGAGGGATCTATGCGAGTTTCTACTGTTCCCGCTTCCCATCTTCCTTCGGTTTCACTCCATTGCATCGAACAGCTCAGGTAGGTCGCGGTTTGCAACATCGGTTTTCAAAGCATGTTTTATGAATATTTGTCAAGTGATTGTTCCTGGTAGGTACATGGGCTATTGTAGAAGCGGCAAAAGATTTTTTGTTGGCTACAAATGCCTTAATATCGATAATTAATGACTCCGCGGCTCCGATTGATTTACCGAAACCCTTGGATGAACGTGTAGCCGAACTCGCGGTCAATTTTGCCGAAGTAGGGTCTTTTACAATTTTGCCCGAGGATTTGCGAAATTTCCAATTGCGGCTTTTGAACTCAATTGTCATCCACTCCTTTGGTTTGCAAACTAATTGGTCTAAAGAGAACGATTCTGTAAGTGTTAGGCATTTCTCTAGCTTTGTACCATCGGTCGTTATTACTTAATCACGACTTCTTTGCAGATCCTGCGACAGTGTCTTTTGCAAACGACAGTGTCTATGATTAACTGGTTTTCCGCTATTGTAATGGCGGTTCGCAACAAATGCTCAGGGTTTGAAAATGACCTTCCGATTATGCCAGTCCTACTCGCCACCCTGGCTTTGAAGGCTCAGTGTTCTTTTAAAGGCACAGGTACTGCGTTGTTTAAGCAAATCGTATCTTTGAATGTGCTATTAAGGACGACTAGGTATCCACCTTTGTGTTTTATTTAGTACGGTCGCTTTAGCCCTCCAAGTCAGATCACTTGGATCACGCTTTTTCTCTATGAACCTTTGCATTATCATTGATGTACTTGGCTCTCATGCTTTTAGGTAATGGTAAATTGTCTGACTCGGAGATTCTTGAGTTTGCTCCACCTCTGAGTAAAACAACAGTTGATTTTATGAATTCGTTGGTGGACATCTCCGATTCTACCCCAGTCAACGATTTATCCCAAGTCTACTTACCGGAACTTTTTGCCCTTCAGGTGAGGTACTTAATTTCTACGCTATGAAATTCCTTTTAATCTGATTGGATTTCGTAATTTCCCTTGTAGGGCTTTCTTCCACTGGGGATTCCAGCTTTCAAAAATTCGTATCAATCAGGTCCTTACGTTGATCTCATGCCATGTTCTTTCTTTGATGAAGATTCCGACGTACAAGCAGCTTATTTTCGCGATCGAATTCGTCTCATCGTTGATGTTCTCAGGTATCTGCTTCTCCATTAGAGTAATTTTTCCCCCATCCTAAAAGCATTGGGTCTAGGTCGCTTATTGCTATTTTCTTCCTCAAAACCCCTTTCCATAGTTCGAGGATTGCACATATTGGATTTTGATTTCAAATTCTCACGGTGATTATACTTAATTGTGTACTTGATGTTCTTTCGGTCTTAACTAAGCATAGAATACTTGCTTTTGAGTTTATCTATATATTCTAAAAATAAAGTACTTTGGTGATCTTGTACAACTAGATGGATGCCCTACAGGTTAGTAGGCTATGCTTTTCCGTTCCTCATTCTCGTGCACCTTTTTTCAGATCCGTGGCTGAAGAATTGCCTAGTCTGCTGAAGTGGTCCAACACACAACAGGCATTTGTTAGTGTTGAACGCATTTCTCCGAGCCTCCCAAAACTGCCTCAGCCTAGTAGTGTTGAGATTGCATCAGAAATGACACAATTTGAGACCCCTGAACCAGAAATCTCGGACGAACAAGCAAAAGATGCACAGAACAAAGGGGTGGAAACTGAATCCAGGGATCGGCTGCAGGTAGGTAGGATGACGGTGCGTGGCTGCACTTGTTTGCCCGGCATTGTAATGGATTACATCAGTTTGATAAAACTAGATGTGCGTCTGTGTTTATTAGCCGGACTCGTATGCTTTTGGTTAAGCGGTCGGAATTTTAGTGAGAGTTTAACGGCCTTATCTGCTCTTCGCCATAGGATGTTGCCGAATCTTTGTCAAATGTGGTAGCTGTTGATGCATCAAGAGAGCATATGGTGAATGATTCCTTCACACCTCCGAACCCGTCTTCAACACCAGTGCCATTGACCTCAACCTGCGAATCACGTAGAATGAATGATATAAATACTTCGGAGTTGGCCCGTTTCATTCAGGAGCAAGCTAGTCAGGTATACCTATGTTTTTTAGCTCCTAAGAAAAACTTGTTCTAGGTTGCTGCTCGTCAAAGGAAAAGACTGGAGGAAGCAGCGAGAGTAAACAGCACATCCAATCCCAGCTACCTCCAATCAAGATCCAACTTCCAAAGGGATCTTCCTCCACGATTTTCAAGAATTCACGAGGCTGGAGCGGCGAGACCAGATCTTGTAAGCAGCTTATTATACAAAGTGCCAGATATTGCTTCCGAACAATTTTTTTTAACTTGGATGCATTCTTTTATCAGACGGATGCACATAGGCATACTATTAGTACGTTGACTTAGTCAGTGAGTTTTTTTGTGGTCGACTTTTACCAACGAGTTCTCTTTGACGACTCTACAGATAAGTTAACCTATTTCCAGAGGATTTGCGAACAAATTCCGTTTTATGCAAAACTATTTTTGTAATCGCCATGATGTTTGCAAATACTGGGTTCCTTTTTTAGTCTGGCAACTCGAATACATTCAAATCCAACCCTTCAGAAGGAAGGCAGCCGAAACGATATGGTTCAGTATGTCGCTAATTTTTTGTATCGTGCCTTGCTTTTATTGCCGTCTTATTGCACGAAGAAGTTTTGTTATACAATTAGCAGACGTTTATTTTAGAGGTGCTGGTCGGAATTCACATTTCCATATTTAATCATCGTTGTTTAGGTTTTGTCTCCAAGACCATTAGACCGTAACCCAAACCAAAATATCCCACCAGCGCTTAATAACGCCATAATACCACGAGCCTTTGAGTCCAGCTATCCTCCACCCATCCTGGGGATGGGACCACCGTCATCACAGCAATGGGGTTTTCCCTCCTCTCTTCCTTTTACCAGTCCTGGCAGTTGGTCTCATAATTTTGCGCAGCCACCGCCGCTTTCATATTACTCTACTTCGGTTCAACAGTGAGTGTAGACGTTCATATTCTCCACCTTACAATTAACCTTCTAAGGAGATCTTATCAACGCAACCTTGACTTTGTTTCATTACCACCTGCCGCCACTTGTCTTTTTTTGCCATTTCAGGCCTCAAATACTTGACGGCAATGTTCAGGACACTCCTTACTATTTGCCCCAAAGTACCATTCCGGGGAATGAACAGGTAAGAGGTGACGCTTTAATCCTATTTTAATTGATTGGCTCTATAAAAGTCATAGCTACTTTACCTATTAGTACATGAGGCTAGATAGGAATCGGCTTATTTCGGCGTTTGATTCAACAATGTGTTCCCATTTTAGACTTTGTCAAAATCAGCATTTACTTGAAATAAGTGTTAGCCTTAATGATTCGATACTTCGAAACTTGGTTGCAAGCTGGGCATGACGTAACCCTGCATAATGTTGGCTATGCTCTGAGTCCGATCACGATGGGGTCCATTGCTGATTCCGCCGCTTCTCCTAACTGTTCGCGCCTCCGATTCTTCCTCTCGGATGGGAAATGCGGAATTCGTCTGCTCTTGTAGTCTAAACCTCTTCTTTGTCTTCTCCTTGTCTCCATCTTTACTTGGTAGTAAATAACTGTCCGCCGATTTCCGTATCTTGCTTTCTTATCCGCTGCGGGGCGTGGGTGAGACTGCCCGGTCTTCTACTGAAGAGGGCTGGGTGCTAGATGTGTGGATGTCATTGGGGTACTCATTTATCCTTTTACGTAGCTCAGCTCAATTTCTAATTCGAATGAGAGGGCAGCACACATTGTCAGTGGCAATTTAAAATTTGATACTTTTCTCCAAAATCCTTTCATTTATTCACAAGAGAGGCAAAATTCTCAAAATTGGTTCTTGAAAAATACGACAACCGAAGCATCCCGTTCCTGGGATGTATTTTTAATGTTTACTTTAACCTTGGATCTTGTTTAGGCTGGTAGGTTTTGAAGGAACCTACGGTAACGCATTGCCTTACGAACCTTGCAAAATGAGCACCAGGCCGAGGAATATAAGCATATCATATATTCCTCAATGTGATACCGTAAAATGCTTACACAGCGATATAAATACTCATCTTCACATTACCCTGGCAAAGGATTCTCACACTGCTTGTATACGAGATTATTATCTGGCGCTATCGAATACTATTTGGGAGCGTCTGAGTCTGCGCTGGCTAAGATCAAAGCAAAGATTTTACAAGGAAGATATGAAGGTAAAATATCATTATATAATCATTTTAGAGGGTGTATTATTTGTCGATGGAGTTTTTCATTGGCCGAACTTTAGGGAATGCAATTCTTAATCTTGCGCTCAAGGATCCTGTTCAAGAATGTTTACGAAATGTAAGAAGTCTTTTGAAGTAACAAAATTTTGTGGTTTTTTTAGGTTGGTTTGCAATAATTGTGATCATCCTTGCTATAACCTGCATTGAGTAATGCTTACCGATCTAGCGGTTTTATTCTCGTGCTATCACTAGAACCGATTTTTTCGATAGTACGTGATCAATAGGTTGTAGTTAATGCAGGATTGTGCCCTAACATAACATAGCATTACCGTAGGTTCAGGACCTTTAGGCGCCCCCTCTCTCCCATATTCCTGTTGAATAGGTACATTGACTTTGCTTCACTAAACACATTCTATTTGTTATTATATCTGTACGCTTTAAAATTCGTAGATGGGACTAAATTTAGAAGACCTTGAAGACTGCGAGCCAGATGCAGCTCTTGGAAACGGGGGACTGGGACGTTTAGCCGCTTGTTTCATGGATTCGATGGCTAATCTGGGAATCGCTGCAACAGGGTATGGTATTCGATATGATTATGGAATTTTTGAACAACGACTCAGTAATGGCTGGCAGGTAGTTAATGGCAAGATTTTGCGTAAATTAGCTACCTATTATCACATTAAAAGCTTTATTTCTGTAGTATGAGGAGGCTGATGATTGGCTTTGTTTTGGCAACCCATGGGAACGGGTTCGTCAAGAATTTTCTTTTCCTGTCAATTTCTATGGTAAAGTTGAAGTACACGGTGATCGAAGAACGTGGATAAACACCGAAGTAATATATGCAGTACCTTACGATACTCCTATCCCCGGATACATGTGCAACGTCTGTTGCACGCTCCGGCTTTGGGGATGCAAGGCCCCAAAGAATTTTGATCTGGCGGCTTTCAATACGGGTGGTTACATAGAAGTTAGTTTATGCGACCATTTTGAGAGGCCTAACCTGATGATTTACCCATTTAGGCTGTTCTTCAACGCAACATGGCAGAGAACATTGCTAGAGTACTATATCCAAATGATAACACGCTTGAAGGGAAGGAGCTTCGTTTAAAGCAGGAATACTTGCTTGTTTCTGCAGCTTGCCAGGACATACTTAGGCGGTACCAATTAGTTGACGAGCACGGCCCACGAAGAAGAGACTTTTCTCAGTTACCCGAAAAAGTTGCCATCCAGCTTAACGATACACATCCATCTATGGGCATCCCAGAAATGGTGCGACTTCTAGTCGATATTGAGGGTGTTGGTTGGGAGCAGGTGAGCACAGTACTTGTCAGTCACCTAGTGGATACTGTGTAGATGTGTATGTATGTCTATGTGATGTGTCCACAAACTGTGGTCACGGTGCTGTGGTAAAAAGATTAATCAAAATCTTAGATCTCATTTTGAAATGCGTTTTGCATATTCACTGTCATTATATTCGGCTATGCCGATACATTTCAGATTTATGCGTTAAATCGCAGTTACATCTAAGCGGAACAATTTTGGGAATCTTTCTCATTTAAAGGCTTGGAGAATTGTCCAGAAAACTTTTTCCTACACAAATCACACAGTTCTTCCAGAGGCCATGGAACGCTGGTCTGTTGAGCTCATTGAGAAGATGTTACCTCGACATCTAGAGATTGTTTACAAAATTAACCAGGATTTCTGCGACGTAAGTCCCAGTTGTTACACATTTCGCGCCCCTGATTTTCATGAGCATAATCGACAATTAAGACACAAACCAACCGTCCCCTCTCCTCACTTTTTACAATAAATTGCAAATAGGAGAATCAGGTATATTTGATCAGGGTGAGCCGATATATTCACACATTCTGAGTGTAGTAGAATGGGAAAGAATATTGCTATCGGAGGATAAACGTTAAAAAGATTTAAGCATTCTTCTAAGTGTATCGTAGGTATTTTGATCCATAAGTGGAGCTACGTCTGTAATGCACTGCGTCTCATTTAGTAAAATTTACCGTTACAATCACAGACATTTTAATCAAATGAGTTGCGTCAGGACCTCTAACTCATTCTCATCTATCAGCGCCTTGCATTAGGATTTCGGTCCGAATGTATAAAAAAATATTGGAGCCTTCATTTTGTAGGCTTTATAATAGGGACGCCGGATATTTTCCTACGCCGGGACAGTTGATAGATAGGTGATTTGCAAATAGAAACGATTCTGTAGGAAATATTAAAACATAGACTTGGTCTAGATGCTGCGCAGGAGGTATCCCAATGACCCCGGAAAAGTTTATCGCATGTCAATCTTTAACGACGATGGTTGGAAGCATCTGAAAACCGCAAACCTCTGCATAGTCGGATCTCATAGTATCAATGGTGTGGCCGCACTGCATACAGAAATATTGAAAAGCTCCGTGTAAGCACGTAGTGCTTCCTGGCATGTTGTTTTTAAATGGATTGTGCCCATCCTATGCAAAAGTGGTTAGAATTTTGTTATTAAACAATTGAAGGCAAAATTTCTCCTTGAGACGATTGGACTTTTTTATTGTACGGCTAAATCACATTGACAAAGCACAGAAGTAAGTCATTAAATGATGACAGGATTTTAGAAAAATCCTGAACAAGAGACTGTGATGCATGCTTTCGTCAACATTTTGAACCACTATAAAAACATTTTCCGGTTTGGTGCAAAAGGCACAATGTTTTCCAGCTAATAAAGTTTGCAGTTGAAGTGCATAGAGCCGTGTTTATTCACAATGACTGCTTTTGTTTTATTTCCTTAAATAGTGGATACCAGTTGAATACAGTTGCTTTGGACAGTAGTTATGCATAGAAATAGCTTGTAGATATAGACAAGGGATTTCAGCGTTAAACGCTCGTCTGCTAGATAAACTTGTCGGCCTTCTCCAAATATCGGTTCGTTCATAGTCCCCAGCTTGACTTCCTACAATCGTGTATTGCCAGGTTCAAAGACTTCTATGAATTGTGGCCGGAAAAGTTTTCAAATAAGACGAATGGAGTAACCCCACGTCGTTGGCTTAAACTCTGCAATCCCGGTCTTTCGGACTTGCTGACAGAGAAGCTTGGTGAGGAATGGGTTGTAGATTTCGATCGGATTCAAGGCATGAAGGAATATGCTGATGACGACTGTGTTCTCGAAACTCTTATGAAGGTTAGGATTTCAGAAGAACTTTTGCAACCAGCTGTATCAACCTAAGCGAAATCGTTACTTTCTTGCAGATAAAGTACCAGAACAAAATAAAACTTGCCAATTATCTGTTTCACACCTTGAACATTGAAGTTAACCCAAACACCATGTTCGATATTCAGGTGAGAATGGCTTGGTGTCTGTTTCGAGAGAAGTTCAACGTTGTGGTAGTTCTTACCACGCACTGACAACGCATTAGTTACAAAATCTCTAGACGTGTGAAAATGAAAGGTCAAGCTACTGAAGTTTACATGTTTCTTTTCGCATTGGATTAAGTAATGGGATATGGCATCTGAGCGTTTTTACATAATAACAAGTACCTCCTCCGTTTTGGTTCGTTGTTGCAGGAGTCTTTATTTGCACATCTGAAGCGGTGTTGAAATCAAGAGCATGCAGAGACTAAAGTTCGTGTCTTTATTATATCCTTCAAGGTAAAACGTATCCACGAGTACAAACGCCAACTATTGAATGCTTTGCATGCTGTCACGATGTACAATCGGATAAGAAAGAATCCCCAGGTTGATATGGTGCCAAGGACGATCATGATCGGCGGTAAAGCGGCACCCGGATATCCCCGGGCTAAGTTAATAATTAACTTCATCAATTGCATCGCTCGAAAAATCAACAATGACCCCACTGCTAGTTCGAAGCTTAAGGTAACTTGCACCTGCTAGCGTAAGATAATTCATTGTTTACCTGCTTTTCGTGGACCATTTAATACCAACTACTTATATATATATATATATAT